ATCGAACATTTGCCGCAATCGGTATATAAATCGATCTCGGCAAAAGCGACCTGTTGTCGGCCGACTACAAACTGTTTTTAGCTTCAAAGATGTACCAGGTATCGAAAATTGTCCAGAATCCAATCGAGATTCATAAAATAGCACTAAGTCAATTATGGAAAACCAAATTAATAACTAAAAATTGGTACGATTTTGGAAAGGGGTCCTCTTTTGCTTTTCTCGTCACATATGATGGTTTCCGCGGAAAATCCGAAATCGGCTCAAATAATATAACAAAGAAATCGCTATCGGGTCCGTATATTATTATTGGGTCCAATAAAAAAACGTATAGTTGATACGTTCTAAAATATCTAATGTCAGATGAAATATGTAAAATACATTTAATTTGTGAATAATAAAAAAAAAATACGATAATAAGTTGGTATTCTGTATTATTGCGGAGAAACGAACGGGTTAGTGGCTATACTATAGAGTGTAGAATTTTCACTTTTTTCCCATCAATCGAATGTAATCATTTTAACATACTAAAAAAAACCATTAACCGCTGCTGTTTATCGCCTCAATAACTAGTATTTAATGAATACACTTATTTTACATGCATAGGCGTAGAATGAAAATGTTGATGCTTTATCGTTTTTTTTTTTTTGACATTTTTTACAAACAACCGTGAAAATTGTTACCGGTCAAAATATCCATTAATATAATATATCACAGTAATAATAATATGTTGATAAAACATCCTCGTGTACAGATATACAAACATCTTATTGTATAAAATAAATATTTTTACCTATACTATCAATAGGTATTTTAATGAGAAGTGAAAGGAAAATATTTTACAAAAAATTGTATTTTTTTTTTTAACGATTTAATTAAAAGTAGAACTGCTCGGAAGTAACGAATCTTAGGAGATTTATTTATACTTTGCTGAGATAAAATGGTACAAATAAGATACAAGTTAGTTGTTCTTTTATTTAAAACAAAATTGTCCAGTTTTTTTAGAAATAATTATAGTCATTGACCATCATAATAGCTGTAATCTGTAGTCAGCAAGTTATGTGATACAAATGGTTATATAAGTTTATGTCCCAACATACTCATTACCCAAAATGTCACTTTTAAAACCCATAATAATAAGTAACAAATTGTGTCTATTAGTAATAATTAGACTTTACATTAAAAGAAAGTGTAGTACCTATGGACATTTTATTTTTTACTGTATTCTAAAAAGAAAGACTTTCAATTATAATTGCAGAAATAGTTTGGCGAGTTGTCTACCGTTGAACGTCTACTACTTAACTGAACCGATTGGTAATAATCCAATTAATAAACAACAAGACTGTAAAAACAGAATATCACAATATGTGCGAACTATAGAAGAAATCATTTAAAAACATTTAACTTGTACTTTAAAAAAAAATGTGTGATGCGTTTGTCATAAAATATATTATATTATACATTATACATACATATTATTAAATATAATACATGAAATGCATAAGCCGACTAAACTTGTTTTTCATTTTTCGATTTGCATAACATTTATTTGACGGACGTGAAAAAAAAATTGTATTTTTGAAATATTATTTACTTAAGTAGGTACTTTTATTTTGTAAGGAAACCGTAGTAAGTACCTACACAACTTTTTACTTGGCGAGGATTATTGCTTTTACAAACGACATAATAACCAAGTGCTAAATCGTCTCGCATTGCCTTGGAGTAATTGAATTGTTCTGTTAAGGTGTTGTTTGGTCGAATGGTGTCCATGTACTCGTGAACACAGATTCGATTGTTTTTAATTCATAAATAAAACGTTACACGCGCCCAAGATTATTTCTGCGACAATTAAGTAATAACGAAACACAATAATATGGCAATATTATATCAAACACAGGTTTTAGCTCTTTCCCACCTACTCTTAATGGAAGTAATGGATATATGTTTCAGACATTAATTCTGAAACAAACATGTCATCGAATAAGGTGCTTTCGGTTAGGATAGGAGTAGACGTTTATTTTGAACATTACTAAAACAGTTTTATTGTCGCTAAACCGTATTTTTTTGTGGGGTTTTTATTTTTTTTACTATTTCATCACTCCTTTTGCAAATTTTAAAAATGTACCAATTTACTGTTTTAACTTTTAACATGTTTTCGCTCTCTAATTGAAAAACAACAATACTATTATTGCATTGTGCAACAGACGGGAGTGCTAAAAGACACCAACGTTGCTATAATAGTTTACCGTTTTTAATAGATGGTGATAATTATTTGTATTAGTGTTGTAAAAATATTGTATGCATTTTGAAACTCCCATAGGGTGCGGTTCGGAAACCCGGTTTAAGCGCTAATATGATTGAGTGTAAAATAAGAGTCTTATCTACAAGATTGATTAAACCATTTCCAAAATTTGTTAAACGGCTTTTTATTTGTATTTTTACCGGATACAATCAATCTTGATTGTTGTGTCACGTTTACACTAAGTCAGATTTGATCGATCAACCGGAATATTTGTTGGCATTTCTGGCGATTACAGCTAAGTTAACTAACTATACAGTAAAGTATACATATTTTATTTATATATATATATATATATATAGTCATGTAACCGCTTGACATAACCATAGACATCCCAAACAATATTGTTATCCAACAGAACATAAAAACTAGATTTACACCGTAACTTGTCTATTTTGCTTAGCACAGCTAGGTATACCGGCTACGCTGCTTTTATATTTTTTTATTTTCGAGGAAGTATATTGCTTAGGTCGAGAAGGGCTAACCTAACTTTCGTGCATTTTGACAAATCATATGTTAAAAACTTGTTAGTTTCAGTTATCATCCCTTTGTTCTAACTATATATATGTGACAAATGTATATAATATGTATACAGATAAAATCGTGGTCGTTGGAAAAATACACCACACATACGTTTTAAGTCATATATCTTTCAAATAGTATAGATCAAATGTAGGTATTTAAATTACGATTTTAATGATCTACATGACATACCTACACTTTATAACTACATAAATATAATGATGCACGACACGCGTTTACGATCGCGATTATTATGTACTTGTAAAGATTTAGTGCTCGTTACTGTAATGAACTTCTAGCTCGGCTTTTTTATGACTCTAAAAAAATGACTGATGCAACTATACTTTTAGCATACAGCACGACCGATTTCCTGGTCAGGAATTAGATGTTGATCCTTTGGAGCGCTCGAGGCTGATTACATTATTCAGTAACACAATATTATAATTATTTTTGTAACGTCCATTTTGTTAACGATAGTATTATATATGGCCCTATACATTTGCATTCGTGATCTATCAATTGAGACTCTATAAATAATTACTACAAAATAAGAAATAAATTCAACAATTTTATGTAACCGCGGGCATAGGTCAATAGCAATATTAGCATAGACTATTTTTTACAGTACGAGTCTTCAAATTGAAACAAAATATATTATTTATTTACCGGTCCGTTACATTTGAATAATAACTATCGTTACGCTATCATGTAATACCTGATATTGATACCCTAGGCTGTATAGAATCCTGACAGCGCTTTATTTGAGATATAATAACATCATGTCAAATAAATCATGAATCCATTTATAAAAGTTGAATTTTAAAGGTTTTTTTTCTTTAAATTAAATCGGTGGAGGCGCCGAACCATTTTTTATTGCAATAAACGAAAACCAGACTTCCAAAAATTACCCTATTAGGAGATCTATGTAGTTTAAAAATATCTGAGTGCACTCTGTTTAAAACACAACCAATGAATTCACAATCTCTCTAAATTAAAAATTATATAAAAAAAACGACTTGAAGAACTAAATATATCTTTACTAACATGTATTACCAATAACTTGCTGATACTTGGTGATTATGCAGTTGACTGCATCTCTATTCTCTCGTCTTGGTCCAAATTAGATTTACTAGTTTAAAACTAATATTTAGCTACTAGAGCAATATAACTATTTTCGTTGTCGCATACGGTACCATATATTATTTTACTAGAAAAAATATGATGTTTCAGCTTCGATACAGAGCTGAAAAGGTATTGTTTTTACAATGATGTTTTAATTTTTTGAGTCAAAGCCCAAAATATATTTTAAACCACTGAATCAATTTCTCTGTGTAGCAACTCCATAAATCAGAAAACGTTCTTCAAGGTACTTTACTGGACCAAACAATTTAAAAAAAATAACCACTTCCCATTCAATATCGAGAAACACACCTAAAAAAATGTATATATTTGTCAACTTAAAATTATAATGCTCTATAACTTTTTTTAAAAATAGTTCCAAATTTGTATGGAATATTCTTTAAACATAATACTGCCGATAAACATTGATAAACCAAAAAAATATCATAAACCATACACAATAGTTAGACAATTACAATTACAATACATACACAAAAAATAATTGTTTAATCGTAATTAAAACTGTTTATTAATTAAAACAATCAAATTACTGACAATTTGGATATTAATACTGTATACAATTTTTTTTAAATAAAATCATTATAAAAAAAGTTATCATTTTAATACCGCGTCCTCTAACTCAAAAGAAAAAGGCCGAATTGGAGCACGATTGCCACCAGTTTCTACTTTCCACAATTGACCATCAATGAATGTATACGTATTAACATGCCAATTTATATTTATTATAACACAATATATAGTTTTGTCATTATTAACAGCGTAGACATATGAATGTGGGTATTTAATACTTCGGAACATCTTCGGAACAATATCTATTTATTTATTCTGGAGAAAAATTAGAAGCTAATTATAATTTATGATTTTTAAAAGCACAAGCCCCATTTTTTTTTTAGAATATTGTTTTTAATCACTATTTGTACAGATTATTTGAGGTTCTAACCAAAATATCAGAATATTTAAGCCAATATAATGATATAATCTTAATTGCAAAAAATAATTAATTAACAATATACATTCAATACATAAACAACAAATATTCGTATAATCGTTATTAAATCTGTTTATTATTTAATACATTCAATTGATTGACAATTTGGATTTTAGTGCGGTACGAAAATTGTTTAAAGAAAACTATAATAGAACTATAAAATCAGTTATCATTATTTGCGCTAATCCTGTAACTCCCAAGAAAAATGCCTAATACGAGCATGATTTGAGTCTACTTCCCATATTTCACCGTCAATGATTATATATATTGTAGTTTTCCAGTGTACATTTGTTATAAAGCACTGCCCTTTGTTACTACTAGCATGGTCGACATATGAATTAGGGTAATTAATACTTCTAAATACTCCTATTAAACGACACATCTCGTTGAAATCTGAAAAAAAAGGATCATTTTCCCCTAGAAAAAAAAAAAATTTAGCCATTTCTTACTATTTTTAATTTTTATTTACAAGACAAAACTTCACACAAAATTACACGTCTAAAATAAATGATAGAAATAAAACAGTACAAAGGGTTTCCGTAATGTACAATCATGTTACTTTTATTCAATCGCTATTTTTAAATAAAGTGAACACGGCCTATATAAATAAATGTCTACTCTAGATATAGCTTATTGTGTATTTTTTATGAAATTAAATTGGGAAAATAGAATTAACATTAAAACAAAAAGAATCTATATGCAATCAAAGAACTATATAGAAATGATAAATCTAATAATAATGTTACTCATAAATATATGTTAGGAAAAAGAGTTCAGTCAAACATTCATGTTATGTCAAATCTATAATTCTATTATACAAAAAAACTAAATTTGTGTATTACCGTGATAAGAATGAAAGTCTGTAAATTAGCAAGTAGCAAAAAGAAACCTGACGGAAAACCAAATGTTTCTACAGACTTACAAAGAACAGTTATGTACATTACACTATTACGCACTATAATTACATAAAAAGAAGAAACATGGACATTGAGAAAAATGGACGAAAAGAAACTGATTGATTTGGAGAGAAAAATCTAAAGAAAGATCTTCGGTCTATTAAAAGACAAGGAAATCGCCGAATGGAGAATAAGAAAAAACAAAGAATTAGAGGAACTCTTTCAGAAACCAAACATATTAAATACAATCCAGAGTAGGAGATTACAGTAGGCTGGTCACGCCAGGCGTATTCAGAACCCACTATTTAACACGGTAATGGCAAAGAAACCAGAAGATAAAAGACCTCTTGGACGACCCCGTTTGAGATGGGAAAACATGGTAAAGACAGACGTAGTATCTCTAAATGGAGGTCCAGACTGGAAAGCAAAAGCAGCTGACGAGGAGAATTGGAAGATTGGTTGTATGACGGGATGGTCTTAGTGGCCGTTTGTACCCAAGAAGAAAGTCTTTAAATTAATTATTATTTATTTATCATATAATATACTATAAGAATATTTACGTATTAATAATTGTATAGCTTCTGAAGTTATATATCGTCTTTCACTTCCCAAATAAGTCAGAAAATTATCATACGATTGGCCTAATTATTAAAACAAATGAAGAATTAATTAGTAGCTTGCAATTGAATCACATGGCAATTAAAATATCTGTAACATTGCCAAGCTTTATATACTCAAAATGTACTATACAGGATAATTATTTAATCACGAACCAGTCAATCTCTCACTGGGTTTAATTAATAATTGATTTTTTTTTCATATTGTTTTTATACATTTTTTTATTGTTTTTACCCCCTCCCAAAAATTAAAAATATATACTTCTCTTCATCTAAATTCGAAAAAAACAACTAAATAGATAATAATAGGAACAATTGTTAAAAATAAAATTCTTATGGCTTAATGTAGTGACTCAAAAACCATTAAAACTATAATAACACTTACCAGATGCACGAATGATTTTATTTTTTAAACCTTCTGTAGAACGAAGTCTTCTCTGTTCTAGAAGAGTCGTCAAACTTTCTGCAATACATTGATAATTTCAGTTAAGTTGTTAATAATAAGTAATAAAAAAAAAACATATTAGTTGCTCGTGATAGCATGGCAATACTTCTAAAAAAAAGCACTTTCAACAATTTTGATTATGAATTTTGAATTATAATTGCGATTACCTTTTTTTAACTGAGGTGCATCGATACCTGAAACGAAGATATAAAATACCAAACAATTAATAATTATATGGTTAATACAAATGTTTTTTTAAATATTATTCACCACAGTCATCATAAAATTGAGAATGCTTAGTCAATTAAATCAATATAATATAATGTAAAAACTTCTAGTCGCCTCGTCTGAATTAACAATGTTGACTATGTTTTAACGATCATTAAATTTTTAGGAAATAAACGTAAAGGGTTACAACTGAATTTTAATCAAATAGTTATCTTAATTTTTTTTATAGTAATCAAATTTAATAATTTTTCGTATAAAAAATTAAATTTAGTACTTACCTGTTTCAGCACTTATTACTGATTGCATAGTCATCTGGTACTCTAACCGTTCTAATATTCAAAGCAAAATCAATTTTAATGTAAATCATTTTAAATGACAGAAATTAAATATTTATGAATATAATTATTTTCAATATATTTTAATACCCAGAGGCTTTATGAATTGGCTATCGTTTTCTGAAATTAAAATAAAAACATATGTTGAGATATTTTCATAAAATGTTAAGAATTTTTTTTTTTATTGGGCTACAAAATTAGTCATTAACTAATTGTTAAGAAAATTATTACCTGGTGTTGCTAACATAAAAACCAATTCCACTGAAATTGACATAAATCAATTTAACAAATACAAACTTTTGTTGCAATTTTTATATAATTTTCAAAACTTTTTTTATTAGCAAGCTTTATCATTATTATTATTTTTATTATATAATTATGATTATACCCATCGTAAATTTTTCAAGCAGAAGTTTTTTAATTATTTTCGGCATGTGACCTAAAATAAACAAATAATAGTTTACGATTAAAAAACCTTTTTACTTGTGGTTATATGTAAATTAAACAATTAACAATGTTTATAAAAAGCTTTAACCATAAAAAATAACTATACATACTATTTTCTATCAAAAATATTTTTTTCGGATTTTAAGCTTTAATTAGTACCAAATAAATGTTACACGACTGGAGATTTGTGTAATTCTTGATATTTTTTGTTTTTTTTTAATATTATTTTAATCATAGCCTACTATTTCGTTTAGTCTGGCCTACATAATAATAATAAATCTTCGATAACTCTTTTTCACGTTTTTTATTTTTGGCGCTACCTTATAAATATTTTGATTTATTACTTTTTTTATGCAACTAGAGCTATGCTGTAATTTAAAAAAAAACCAATGAGATCTACACAGTGAGTATCTACCTTGATAATAAACTATAACCGATCATATTTTTTTTATCCCTCTATACCTAAGTGTCCTAGGCTGTCCTTTGACCAAACCCGCGATTAAGTTATTAACTGAAATAGGAAGTTTGCCTATAAACGTTGTTTGGATGTTTTAGCGGTGATGATGAAAACGTGGCTCTAAAATTCGCGTATAATCAAGTGTATTATTTTTTATGATTAGGTATTTTGTTATTTTGATTTCAAAACAACACAAATTTTCAAATAAAATTGTAATAAGTATAAAAGTTTCTAGAGTTAGAGTATACCATGCTAGCCGTTTACCATTTCTATTAATGCTACTCATTTTGTTGGGTTAAATTATAGGTACATTGTGTAGACAGTGGATTTTAAATAAATTATCATAGAAAATGTTTCTAAAAACATTGAATCGTTGGCGAACCAGTCAAGATATCCAAATGGGAGTAACCGCAAGTTGTGTAAATAGTTTAAATGTTTCTATGATAATAAATATAAATTATATGATTAACATAAGTTAAGTGTTTACACAAAATACTAATATTTTTATCTCATTCATTCTTAATCAGAACAGATTATAGAAACTACAATTTTTAATTAAATAATCATTTGACTATTCAGCCAAACATACTAAATGCATTATATTTTGGTATTTTAATTTGATAAAAAACTTACTATTTGCAAGCTTAATGTGATCGTCTGTACAGAATTATATAAAGGCATTAAAATATAAAAAAATGATTTTATAAAAAAATGATTCTACTCACTTGTTATGAGAACTTGCTTAACAAAATCATCTGAAAAAAAATAGTTCAATATTAATATTTTTGTAATAGATTTCTACTAACTCGTGTAAAAATTAAATAATCACCTAATTCAGATACCAAATCATTTACCAAGGCAAATAATATTAAAATACTTAAAAGCTTCATTTTTATCTGCAAAAATAATACTAAATTATTATTCTGTGTGTGTGTTAGATTCAGTCGCCACTTAGTCATCTTCAATGCAGAGCCGAGAAGATATTGGTTTTACAATGATATATTAAACTACTATACATATTCGAAACGTTATAGCGTGTTGTCTCCTTGTGTTAAAAATACGTAGTGAATTTTAAGGTGTTTTAAAATGTACTTACAATATTAGAAGTTGACTAGTATTATTAAGTTAAGTTTTTAAATCGATAGAACTTATAAGCAAAATATCTATTAGATCTTGTTTGTATTGTTTTAAATTTAAATGTGTTATTTTGGCGAATTATATCGACGGAAACAGTAAAATTTAAATACACATTCGCAGAGAGGTATATGTTTGTTTATTTTTACAGCTATGATTAATAGGATTACATATTTACATTACTCAGACGCATGTTTAGACTAACTTCCCACTTTATGTTATACAACATCAAAAATATATTTTTACATGTGTATTTTTGGTGACTTGAGGAGATGGGCTTTTATATCGACGGAAACAATAAAATCTAAATTTATATCCCCCTCTTCTTAAATACGCCCCTGTAAATGTTTTGTGAACTATATTAAATATTCATAGCGTGATTATGGTTGGTATTTCATAATATTTTCAAGTATACACGTGTCTCAAAAACTTTAATATTATAATATGTGACAACTGAAATTAAAATTTATAAATTCTGTCATTGGTTGTACCTACTTAAACATTATACAGGGTGATTTTTTTTTTGTCATGAACCACTCAATATCTTACTGGGTTAGGGTAATATATTTTTTTTTCATAGTGTGATTTAAATTTTACATAAATTATTATGTTTCTACCCTCCTCCCAAACTAGTTTTTTTGATAGCAACTTTTGAAACTTAAATGGTAACGTATACATTTTTTCAACTTTTTAAATTAAGAATATTTCACTATAAATTTTGACTGGTTGATTACCGGTTTTTGGGTCAATTTTTTTAAAGTTATAAGAGTTTAAAAGTTAAGACGGAGGGGAAGTGCGCGCAGATTAAAATAATACTGCACTGCACTTTCCTCCTGCCCTAAACTTGAAACTTCAATAACTGTAAAAAAAAAAGTTATTCCAGAGTACGATTTTCATTCGAATTTCTTTAATAAAGAATCTCAGTACCGTTTGTATTTGAGTATTATATCATAACTACTGTCCCAATAATGTTTACAAAAGTAGTTTATAATTCAACCAAAGTACTTTGTCTAATTACAATTTATTAATGTCTACTAATGGACCAGACATTGCTATTCTTTACAAGTTATTTCATGGACAAATATATAACTGGGTATAGCTATAGGTACTAGTAAACGTACTCCAACGCCAGTGTAAAGAGTTGACGGCAACACATAATTATCCACAGCTGTAAAACATTCTGTTAATGAGCCTAAGTATAAAATCAACTATGACACAGGAAAATTGGCTTTGGCGTTAACCGTACAACAGTTCATTAATCGTGTTTTACTGTTCTAACGATTTTAAATTGGCGTCACGAACTCTTATATTTTACCCATAGGGACACTCTAATAGCCCATCGTCCGGCTTATTATCCTTTTGAACGCTTTATTTATACAGAGGTCTTCACGAAGTCGACGTTAAGTGTTTTTATCATTAGTTTGGTATGCCCTTATATTTCAATGATATATTATTATTAAAGACTACCTACTCATGACTAGAGTCTCGTGTACAGTAATTAAATCTTACAGGTCCTTTCCAATCGTATGATGTAGGACAGTGCCAATCCATAAAGACATAACATAAAAACATACAAAACAATGACCAATGCTATAAGCAACTATAGTAATATTAACCATGATTTATTTGTATGAAATTCACTTTAATATTACATTTTTATTAGTACAGGCCATTTCTTTATATTATAATATTTGTATACACATTTAGTTAATCACAGTTTTAGCGTATAATTCCATAAACTAATAGTTGTTTTTTTAAAAATGTACAGGGTCCATGTTTTTTTATGGAAAATTTCAAAATTCTAGATTGTCCCATAGTGACAGATACGTTTTTACTCGATTTATATAACTATATACTTAATATCTTTATTATAACTATAATATTCGACACGAATAACATGAATTTGTCGATTATATTTGAGTGAAATACAAAAGGCTACCTAAAATGGGCGGTAAAGGACATTCATACAACAATAGCATCATAAATTGACATATATAAGGGAAAAAATTCGACACACGACCTTGCATGGTCATTTTAAATGTTTCAAATAAATTTTTGGAATAATTATTCAACAATATTTCTTTGTTGATATGACTTCTTGACATATATTAGGTATACTGTATTGCATGGCAAATATTTTTATAGGTTGTGCTTACTCGTTTAAGTATGCTCGGCCTTTGCTGTTGTTTGGTCAAGCAATACACAAACTCTCTTAAAATAATCTTTATTTAACTGAACGGGGAACGTTATATTCAATTTTATCGTATGCTATATTATTAATTGTTGAGCTTTAATATTTATTAGAATAAAAGCTATTAGAACAATGTCATGGTCACTGTTAAATCAAAAATTTAAACAAATACTAAAATATGCACTAACAGACAAATATTGAATAACTATTGATGTTATTGTCTTTTCAATTAAGATGCAATTGATAATATTTTAATATTAAAATAATATTTTTTATTTAAGTGTAATATGGATAATATACTTAAATCATATTATGCACATAATTGAAATGGGTGGTTTTCAATTTCTTCAACGTCAAACCAACTCTCCACTTAGACAAATGTCTAGTATAATTATGAATCAAAGCGTAGCTCATTAGTCATGTATTTTAATACACATGGCTAATGAGCAAAGTAGCTACTGGTATTTTTAGAGTCTGTAAATGGCGTTGACTTTTCTATCATTATTTATTATGATACACGCAGGAAGAATACATCCTGTCGACGAAAACCGTTAGAGAAATTAAAATCTATACCACTAGCGTTTAACTTCTTGCAATTATTATCAAAATTCAATAGCGTTTTGGCTTAACGTTTTAAGTGTCTAGGCGCCTCGAGGAAAAATACATACATTATAATGGCATATAATATCCAAGTTGTCTTTGCTCAACGCGAAGCCCATTTAGAATGGCTTTGTGAGTGAACGCGCGCATAGATACAGCGATACTTAATAGTTTGTTGATATATTTATTATAATAAAGACTACAAGGTGAAATTTTAAAAAGGAAACCGTTGCAGTCGTGTCAGTGAATGATGTAAAAAGTAACGTAGAACGTTTTGAAAAGTGCAATGCGATTGAGTTGGCCGCCGAGGTGTAACCAAACTATTTACCATTTATAAAGGGGGCTCAACTTTGTTTTACCTTTATCCAGTGGCGTTGCCAAGGGCGGGCCGAAGTAGGCGGCGACCAACTCTGAAAATATCGTCTAGCTTACATTTTAGTCAATCCTGCCATCCCTCAGGTTTTTAAAATTAACCAATTTTTTATTAATACGTTTTTTTTTTACTCCAAATTTAAATCAAACAAAATAGGACGACAAACTCTAGCATCTTATTAGAGAATTGACTATTCAGACTAACCTCGGTAGTCATAATCGTTTACTTGATTCCGTTGCCGGCTCTGCGTTTGACTCTAGAACAAAACACCCGAGGGACTTTGGAGCCTTTTTTGGGGGGGAGGGGGGGGTTAAGCTTGTAAAAACGTCAAGTGAATAATGACTGCCGCACGGAGGTTGACAATCTGCTTATCGACCGTACACATAGTTGTGTGTGTGTGTAAATGTACGTGAAGTGTACAACGCATCTCCATAGATAATAACCACCGGTATTACTCTCGGCTGTATATAGTGAACGGAAAACATAATTTATAATACATATTATATCTTTTCGCCAATGCCGTCGTCCTCTCGGGGGCAATAAAAAAATAGTCGGTTGTTGGACGAACCGCCGGCGATGGACTTACAACCTTGGGGCAAGAACAGCGCATCCCCCGCACGGTTAGGTACCTACTCACAGTAATAATATTGTAATCTCGCGTACATAAGTAGGCAGATGAGGTGCACCGTATGCACATATTCTAATATGATCTGGACTATGGGAAAAATCGGACAACGCCGGCCGATCGGACGCATACAATACCCGCGTCGTGTAGTATATATTTATCTATAATATATATAATGTAATGTGCATTATAATATACCGCGGCTGCGTGTAATATATAATAATATTAAATATATTGTACAGTACGGTGTACCACCTTATGCGTTTTACATAGGCTCATCGTGACTTTAATGCGCCGACGGTGAAATGAATTTATGGACGCGGCGGTAGATTTTATTTTATTTTTTTGTTCATACATTATTATTATTATCATTATATCGTTATAATATGCATTTCTCGACAAACGACATGCTCGTCTCCGTGGGGGCAAGTTACAGATAATGACAAAAACACACCGGGCGAAATTGCGACGGTACACGGGAGTCTTAGGATAATAATTTTTAAAAAAAAAGTACAACCACCGACCGACAAACGGACACGACCGGTAGCTCAAAGGCCGTTCGTGAAAGGTACAAGCCATGGCACATAATATGTGTCCGAGACGTAACCAATAACCCGGTAAGTATAGTCAAACAGTGGCAGGCCGACGGGAAGATGACACGCAAGAAACACGCTTGCTCGCCGTAAGTAGGATAATATTTTCCAGCAGAAAATGTCCAGCCTTGTCGTTTTTACCAACAATAATCGCGTTACGGTTTGAAAGAACATGCGTTTAGCGTGATGTATGCGGTAACTGACATAAACACTATGTTAATACCTTCTATGTATATGTACAAGTTTTTCAATGTCCATTCCGTAACAACATACCAACATGTCCCACACAAATGGGATCGACCATCCTAATTATTCACCTAGCACCGTAGAGTCCAGACCTGCAGTGTGCCTCTCGTCATGAACCTAATAGCCCACCCAAAAGTTCCCTCTTCCTTTGCTGCTGAATCATCGTAGTCGAAGCCTTAGTTGAAAATCAATAGAACAAAAGTCGTTCAAAAAGTATAAATTATCAAAGGAAAAATAAAAACATTCAAAATATATAGTTAAGTATTGAAATCAAAATGGAAAAAAAAAAACGTTAGTCATACATAACATTTCCACTGTCTGCGCAAGTTCACATAATACTGTACTTAGGTATACACACATAAAATAAAAAAATAACAATATATGTACCAACTTTATACCGCGAAGGGTTTACCGGTCAGGGTGACCTAAGAACAAATAAAAATGCTGACATAATAACAGACAACGA